CCGAAGCACCGTAAAACGGGGACCGCCTTCATTCGGCGCCCTTGTTATCCTATTCTATAGACCACATGGGCCGCCGAAGCGCCGCATGTGCCTCGCGCTCCAGCCCGCGCCGTGCAGCAATCGTTTCGGCGTCTGCTCTATTTTTTTCGCGAGCCGCGGGTGAACCGCGTCAATTCTGGCAGGAAGTCAAACCTAGACATAAGTATCGGATTAGATTTGTGCCAACAGGATCAAGAAAAACACTTTGAAGATCAAACAAATATTAAGACATTGAGAGAAAAAAAATTGTTTCAAAAGAAAAACTTACGATCTGAATCAGATTCTTAAAATGATCAAGAAAAACACTTTGATGGTCAAACAAAAATTAAGAAATTGACAGAACAAAAATATTGACTAAAGGAAAAAAAATGTTTCAAAAGTAAAACTTACTATCTGAATCAACTTCTTCAAATGAGTAACAAAATATGTTTCCTTTTTCTGTTTGCCTCTATGTGTTTTTTTATCAGTTTCCTTAGTTTCATTGTCGCTGCTCAGAGCTTTGCTCTCACTACCAGATTTGCACTTACACTTTCTGGCTTTCTCCTTTGCAATCCCTGAGTTTTTGGTTGCAATTCTGGCACAAACCTTTCGGGTGGGTGGGACTTCTGAGAAGTTAAATTACTGGACAATCTTCTCTGCCTCCTGAGCTACTGCTGTCAAATTATAAATGTTGGTGCACAATTATAGTCTGAGAAATAATCACAGTTTCACAATTATCGCAATTATTTAACATGAAATGATTTCCCCTCTGTATTAACAAAAATAAATCACACGCGCACACACACATTCTATAAAGTATTGATAAAGTTCGTAATTCCATTTTATAAAGGTTTTGAACTCCAGATAGTGTTTATTGTTGGTTTTCAGAGATTCAGGAGTATGTCGTACCCTTTGATACGGGTTGTTAGGTCTCTGTGTGACTGGCGTCAGAGCTTGGTCCGCATTGCCAGCAATAAGTTGGACTTATTTTCGGTGAGAGTTGGACTCCGCCAATGCTGCCCTTTGTCACCGATTTTGTTCATAACTTTGTGGACAAGATTTCTAGGTGCAGCCAAGGTGTTGATGGGATCTGTTTTTATGAGACTGGTGGTCGAAATGAGTTTTCTGCGCAGGGTGACTGGCTTTTCTCTTAAAGAGAAGGTGAGAAGCTCGGCCATCTAAGAGGGGCTCCAAGTAAATCATCTCCAGACGGAGAGGAGCCAGTTGAAGTTGCTCGGGCATCTGGTTAAGATCCCTCCTGGACTCCTCCTTGGTGAGGTATTTCAGGCACATCCATATCATTTATATCAAGTAGATGATGTGGTCCTGTTTGCTTCATCGGAATATGATCTCCGACTTTTGCTTGAGCGGTTCGCAGCCGAGTGTGAAGCAGCAGGGATGAGAATCAGGTCCTCTAAATCCGAGAACATGGTCTTAAATCGGGAAAGGGTAGAACGCCTTCTGCGAGGTCCTGCCCCACGTGGAAGAGTAAATTGGGGCCTTGTTCATGAGTGAAAGAAAGATGGAGCGTGAGGTAGATAGGTGGACTGGTGTTGTGTCTGCAGTGATGTGGGCGTTGTACCGTTCTGTCATGGGGAAGAGAGACCTGAGGTGGAAATCAAAGCTCTCGATTGACCGGTCGATCTACAATCCTACCCTCACTTATGGTCACGAGTTTTGGGTAGTGACCAAAAGAATGACATTGTGGATACTGGCGGTCGAAATGAGTTTTCTGCGCAGGGTGACTGGCTTTTCTCTTAAAGAGAAGGTGAGAAGCTCGGCCATCTAAGAGGGGCTCCAAGTAAATCATCTCCAGACGGAGAGGAGCCAGTTGAAGTTGCTCGGGCATCTAGTTAAGATCCCTCCTGAACTCCTCCTTGGTGAGGTATTTCAGGCACATCCAACTGGGAGAAGACCTAAAGGAAGACCCAGGACACGCTGGAGGGACTATGTCTCTCAGCCTTGGGATTCCCCCAGAGGAGCTGGCCAATGTGGCCGGGGAGAGGGAAATCTGGGTCTCACTGTTTAGGCTGCTGCCCCCACAACCCGACCCCAGATAAGTGGCTGAAAATAAATGGATGGATGAATTTATATCAGCTAGAAGCAAATCATTGAACTTTGATTAATGCATGGTGAATAAAATGAAGTGGTTTGTTTCTAAATATTATTGGTCAATAACTGACAAATAACTAAAGATATAATTAAAGCATTCAATTTGGTGCAGGATTTGTTCAGAGCTTTGTTAAAATCTGGAGTTACTGTGGTGAACGTTCACCTCTAAAGAAAATATCAGGTCAGAAAGCAGCCCACCCCACATGAGAGACCACTTAAACATCTGGAGGAAGTGCATAGATTCTAGCAGGTTTATAAGGGAACGGGAAATGATTTCTACATGTGAAAAATGAAGAAATATCAAGGTTTTAGACTAACAGTATCAGGAAGGACAGCTACAAATTAGGATTTAAGCAGCCATTCCATATAACCTTTTCAGGAATCAGGCAAAAACAGCGCCAATCTGTCACGATACGAGGATGGTTAGGACCCAAAAATGCAGGTACCCAGGATGACACGAGGCAGGAGATGATATATAAAGAAAAATCCTTTTATTTTGTAGGATGAACAAAAGAATAAAGCCTGACAGCATTACCACAATGGACCGACACAACACAGAGACAAGACAGGGCTTATATAGACTGGGAGGAGCAATTAGGGAAACAGGCAGCAGGTGTGTGGAGTGAGGGCTGGAGGGAAAGCAGGTGAATACAATTAACTAAATGGGGAACAGAACCAGAGGAGGGCAGAAAAACCTAAAACTATAAAACACAAAACTAAACCTAAAGACTGAGGGAAGGACTCACACACACATACACACACTGAAATAAAAGGCCTATATAAACTGAGGTGGGGAGACTAAGAGACATGAAAAAAACCAGGAGGGAGCTGGGGACAAAAAGGCTGGAGCTACAAAGACACAGAACGTGAAGGAACACCTGGAGGGGCTGGGGATGACCGAATGAACACAGGACCTGGGAGGAATGATTTAAAGGGCTACAAACAGGAGACACATAAATGAGACACAGCCAAAGGACACATGAGGGCCCTATGAGACACAAAAGGGGAATCTAGAGAGGAATGGAGAACACAAGGAGACACATGAGGACGCAGACCATGACACAATCTGGATACAAACAGATGAAAATGACAAACTACATGAAATGTGAATAAACCCAGTGGTAATCACACTTTAAGCTATGGCAAATCTGCAAAACACGCTAGCTTTTCAACCTAAGGACAGTCAAAGAACTCTCACCCCTATTGTCAGCTATCACCCCTAGGCCACGCCCCCAATATGAGAACCTGCATTGCCAGAGGAAATGAGCAAGCGCTCAACACCAGTCAATGTTTTAAGCTAGCTGATGTCACTGGTTTGTCCCGAGGTGGGGTTAGGGGTAGCTACTAGGGCTCAAGCCCTGGATGTTTTCTGAAAAGCCCCAAATCTAACTTTGACTTTTGAAGAGGTAAAAATAAATAAATAAATAAATCGCTTAGAAGCGCCGTGCAGTACAAAGGCCACCAGAGAGGGCACAGCTGCATAGTGTAGCCTGCATACAGCCTACTGGAGTCTCTCCAGAATAAGAAACCTAAAAGCTGTGCCTGAGAGCCAGGCTTGGAAAGGTTGAAACATGGATGTTAGGAAGGTTTTGTTTGTTTTTTGGACTAAAAGAACCACAAAAGATTTAAAGCAAAAGATGGGATGAATTAAGTTTGTGCATCTTATTTAAAATGTGTCATTTTTCCTGGAAGGAAAATGAATGAGAGCAAAATAAAGTTACGTAGTCTCATGGGAAGAATCCACTCAAGCTGGGATAATTATCATTAATAGGAAAATAATAAAGAGCTGATGCTCTCTGGGTTACTGAAGAGAAAATGAGTAAAGCAGAAGTATAGTTGGTACATGAAATAAATGAAATGAATAAATTACTTATTTAGTTAAGTGTATGGAATTTATTTAATCATTGTAATTCTCGGGTTTTCTTCATACCCTCCCATTAAAGGAAAACAAACAGCTGTCACTGAAATGTGTTCCTACTGACAAAAGTAAAATCATGGCACTGCTTTCAAACTGTGCTTCAGCAGAAATATTAAAGACAACCATGGTCCATAAACTATTGTGTTGAGCAGAACTTTGAGGAGATATCTGCACATGTTGACAGGTGTTTTAACCCTCAGCTCACTGGCGAAGTGGTCTCATTTTTTGGGACTGTTTTGGTTTAATTATTTTTTCAACCACAATTCAAAAGCAAAGTTTTACAAGAACCTAGTTGTAAATATTTTACTTTCAGATGCCAGCAGGGTTTGTGGTGTTTTGATTTATCCTATGATTTTTCCTTTTTCATACTCATCTCATGTAAATATTAGGACCAAGACCTTTGCAGTTCAGTTTATTGTGCCAGCAGCACATGCTGCTGTTGAACAACGGCTGTAGAGCTTTCTAATTTTAACAATTTTTGCCCAATTATGATTTAGGTATTTTCTATTTGCTATCATTTGAGTTTCTAATTATTTCAGTGACTTCTGTGAATGTATTCTTTTCTTTAATGGAGAGATATGAATAAATGTGAGGATTAGTGTATAAATATGGCTCAAATCCTAATGTATCGATGTCCTAATAAGGATTTGTGTTCACAGCACTGTATATAGGCTGATAATACATTTATTATATCATCACATCAGTTCATAAATGTAATCAAGTGCTTTTTGTCTGCTTTAAGATGGTCAAAATGTGAAAGTTGAACAGTTTCATTTAAAGGTAGAAAAATCACTCATCTGGGCTAAGCCCCGGATCTTTTTCAATCCTAAATCCGCCCCTGGATTTGCCCATTGCAGCTTCAATTTTTTCCACATGTGTTTTATTATAATCTGGGGCTACATAGTGTACATGTCAAGAGGAGCAGTTAGAACTGACACACTGGGATTCTTACCTTGACATAAGCAGGCTGCTTCTCTAGGATGAGGTCAGCCACCTTTTTGGAAACCTGCAAAGAAAAAGAATAAGACTTTTAAAGAGAAATGGTGCATGCTGATCTTCTTCCTTAATGGCATCCCACAGAAAATGTCTAGACTGTGATATTCCTTTGAAAATGAAGTGACAATACCAATCATGAAAAAGCACCACCTTTAAAGCCCCAGTGTGTAAAACATTTGACTCATTAGTGTCACGCAGTTCAGAGAAGGTATTACACGTGTAGTAGTCCACACGCATCAAAAAAGCAGAGTGAAAACAGCACTCTCAGGATTTCAACCCACTGCTTCGTGCAATCAGCATCTCTCAAAGCGATTAAAGAACCCTCTGTCTGAGTCCTGTGTATAGAACGTAGGGCTGGGCAATAAATCGAAAATTTATCGTTTCTGACTCTTATCATAATTTTTCCCATGTGAATAAATTTGATAATAAAAAAATGAAAAGATGTGTGTAGGTTGGCAACGTTCATGTCCCTTTAAGAAGCTGTACCACCTTGAGTCATGTAGAAATGTGACTCAACATAATACACGTGACAGCCCCGTCTAGTGGACAACTTTTGTTTCTGCGCATACCTGTAGTTATCGTCCATTTATCGTTATTGAGGTGAAATCCTCAATATATCGTGATTTTAATTTTAGGCCATATCGCCCAGCCCTAGTAGAACAGGTCTGATTAGTCTTTTGCAGCAGCTGCTGTCTTCTCACCAACGTGCTGTTGCTTCTGCCCCATGCTACGCATCTTCCACACTCGTCGAGCACCTGCCGTGCCACTCGTCTCCCTGTCCCCCGCAGTCGTGCGTGCACCGCCACAGTTATGGATGACTTTCAGTTCTAAATCCAGCGATCACATGTGTTTAGAGCCGGGCAAACAACCAAAGGGGAAGGAACAGAATTTCTCCAAACCAGCAAGGTTGCCACGGAGAGAAGCTGCACCACCACCACACAACGTTTAGAGGGAGAACTTTCAAGTCAAAGCTCAAATGTGGCGCATTATATCTTGTATGTCCCTAAACAGCAACAGTATTTCAAGATGGAGCATGACTTTTGAGTGTCAACCATAGTTTATATATATATATATATATATAAATGTAAATTTTCAAGCTATGGAAATATATAAAACAAAAGTAGGTGAGAATTATTAATGTAACAAGACAAATTGCAAATGTCATACACAGAATTTGATAGTAAACAAGTAAAAAATATTACACACTGTTGAGGGTCTGCCCTCATGAGAAAATTACTATGCAGTAATTTTCCCAAAAGACTGTGCCAAAGGAAACGCCCTGAAGCGTACAAATAAGGCATATTAAACATCAGCGCCAGCTACAACTTCATTTCCCAAGGGTCTTTGCGCCCGGAAGCAATGTGATGACGTCACCGCCGAACCCTGAAACAAGTTCTGCGCATGCGCCGAACCACACGGAGACGCTGAAAGTTATACAACTCAGCACAAAGTGAAACTTCGCTCTCTTTTTGTCCAGCTTTAGCTGGTGTTTGAAGAGATATGCTCGCCTTTTGCCTTCGGACGCGTGGGCGCCGGCCGAGCTGTTTGAAATCAACGGAGAACGCCATCTAATCCGTTTGAACGATCAGAGAAGAGTTTGATTCTATTTTAATTTTTCTTTCTCTCCGATTATCATAGCCATAACAAGCGGTCATAGCGCGAGACCGTTTCAAAATACCAACGGCTTTCCTATCTTCCGTACCAAAAACGCCATAGGAACAACTGAAGTAAGATCTTTTCTTTGAATTTAATGTCTAAAGTTGTTTTGAGCTGTGGCCACAGCATTGACAAATGTTAGATATTCATTATGATTGATCTTTTGTGTTGTTTCTTGATCCTTTGTGAAGCGGGTTTAAACTTTTGAAGTGTTTAAGTTGAGTTTCACTGTGATTTTAAGTCACTAACTGTTTGGGAAGTTTGAGGAAACTTTACACACACTGGGTTTCACCCACACCCCCTCCTACACATTGGCTCTCAGTGTGGGGGCAGAAGTCACACACACACACACACACACACACACACACACACACACACACACACACACACACACACACACACACACACATACACTTTCTCATATTAAAATTTTAAAAATTTAAAAATCATCTAAAAACTCACCTTTTCATCCAGGCGTTCCCTCCCTAAATGTTTCAAAAAGATGGCTTTGTTCGGGTTCACACCTTCACTTTGTTTATACTCATGATTTTATTTTCTACGTTTAACACTGCTATTGTTTTTCTGACGTTTTTATTGGTTAGAGGTATTTGCCCTGATCTTTATCATGTTGTACAGCGCTTTGTGATTTATATCTGAGAAAGGCGCTATATAAATAAACTTTTACTTACTTACTTACTTACTTACTTTCAGCCAGACAAAAGGGTCAGACATTTTGTGCAAAGCCTCCATTTGGAGATCCTAGCCACTTGAACACCATTTTGATTACCCCATATCAGATTAGTTCACATTATTATTTCATTGTTTAATTACTTGTTATTCATTTGATAAAATCAGTTGGTTAATATTGTTGGCTGAACACTTCAGAAGGAGCTGAAGTGAAAAGATTAATTCAGTTAATAAATGTTATTCAATTAAGTTTTGTCTTCAAGTGGATTTATTTGTGATATAAAATTCAACAGCAGCTCGTTAGGATTCACGGAACGTTTAGACAAGACTGATAAGAATTTTGGATTCATTTCCCTTTCTAATTAGAATGGGTGGTGCCCCAAGGATATCCCCGGATATCCTAATTAATTAATAAATCGGTAAATATTTCCATATTTACGAATTTATTGAAGAATCCAAAAAGTAAGTAAAAGCTTACAAATTATTCGTTGACCTATAGTCACAACAACACTGTGGCTTTAAAGAGAGAACATTTTTTTTTGTGTGTTATTTCACTTATTGTCTCCGATAGAAAACCATATATTTTTGGACTGTGCAACCTTTGTTCCTACTATAATTTATAAATTAGTACTCACTACCCAGTCTCTTGAAACAACTTGATTCCCATATAGGCTCAGAAACTGTCATTACTGGAAGAGCTTGTGTCCTGTTTATGGTTGTGAAATCACAAACACCCCTGCTAAGCCTGACATGAGCTGCTGCTTTCAGTCCAAATGAAAACCACAGAAGAACACAGTAGGGCTGTGAAAACTAAACAAATTGTAGCGTTACATGTGCAAGGTCACGCTGAACTCAGCTCCTCCAACAATAAATCCATGTATCAGGTAGAGCTGATACTGGTAAACACCAAGTATTCCCAACAGCTGCAATAACCTGTGTTAACCCACCCTTACTGTCTCTAATCTGGCAGTTGCATGCACGCATCGGGCAACAATGCATAGTTTCCTCTAACCAAGAGGAGAAACGCCCTCAGTCTTAACTCAAAGCAGCGAGGAGGCGGTTGTATGTATTAGTATGCAGTAGACAGAGGCAGGGGCGGTGATGACATTTCAACATGTGTTAAGCATGCGCTGCTGCAAAGTGAAGACCTGAGCAGATGGTAAATGCAGCTTTGAAGAGTTTGTTTATGAATATTTGAGACATTGTTTTTGCTTTTGGTCTCAAATTCATCAAAAAGATGCTGACATGACGGAAAACTATTCTGTACTTGGAAGACGTGTGAGAATCTAGACAACAGTGGACCAAGGACATCGGAAGACAGAGACAACATTTAGTGAAAAAAAGGACAGACTTTAAAGCCACATCGCCACCTATTGGTGATGTATTGGTCTACTTTACCTTCAAGCACAGAACTTTTAAACAAAGTTAAGTAATGTAAATACATAAAGCCAGTTGTGAATAACTTAACACTCCCTAAGCCACAAGGTTAAAGACATTAATTCTTAGCTCAATTCTCTCTCTCTCTCTCTCTCTCTCTCTCGCTCACACACACACACTCACACACACACACACACACACACACACACACACACACACACACACACACACAAAGGTTAAATGTGCATAAATAGGGCTTCTAGGCAAGAATGGAATTTTTATAAGGAAATGTTTGAAACTGGCGACAATCAATGAAGAATAATTATTGTATAAATACAAAAACACTGTGAATAAATAATTTATGAGCTGCAGGAAACAAAAAAGAGACAGCTAAGATAAGCCTGGAAATTGTAATAAATAATATTATGATGTCTATTTCACACCAAAAAAAGGAAAAAACACAATCAATGCAAAGATCTAAATATTTGTATGATATGTCTAGCACTCACGTTTTAGCCCAGCTAGGCTGAATATAAACACAGAGAAGTATTTACATAGTTTTTAATGTAAAGCACCTTAATTTTAGCACGAATCTGAAGAGCGACATGAGTCATTTATACTTTAATTACCTGCCACTCTAAGGCTGTAAACCAGGCAAAAAAACATCAACAAAGTTTATTTGTCAAAATGTCTCTAAACACAAGACTCAAAAATTAAAAATACTAAGACAAACACCGTTACTTTGACTGACCTGATCTGTTTTAGTTTCCCAAATACTTCCTGAAACTTCCTTTAGGAAAAAACTAACATCACTCCCAACACAAATGTAGCAAGTGTAGGCAGCCAGGCAAGGTTTGTGCTGACTGCACACGCTGTTCTGACATAAAACCTTATCAGAGACGGAATCCATGACTGCTGCAGGATCTTTGGTTTCCAAGTTGCATTAAAGTTCTTGTATATAATATTATCCATATTTACACAGCAGACCATGACATCTTGGTTCATCATTTGGACCAGTGTGTGGTTCTTAGAGAAGTGGCCCTGGACTGGATCCGGTCTTATTTGGCAAGGAGAATTTGTGTGTCAGCCTTTCTGTGTAATCCTTCACTTTTCTCTTGTGTGGTGTCCCACAGGGATTGGTTTTTGGCCCCTTTATTCTTGCTCTGTTCCTGCTCATGAACCATAGCATCTTGTTTCATTGCACGTGACTGAATTCTGTCCCACCAAAGACAAATGAGGCATACTCTGTGACACCATTACTTGTATGTTTTTTACATAAAGGCTCTAAAC